TCCTTTCGCGCGCACCATCGCCACCTTTCGCGGAAGGTCTTTTAAGCCATCCGTGGTCGTTTTATATAAACATGCCTTCATGGGATTTTCAGGCGATGCCCCTTTCCGAAATTTCGTTTTCCGGAGCCCTAGCAACACCACGTCTAAGATGGCCCAGCACGAAACCAAACGTCCTCTAAGCATAAACCTGACTTCCTGGATCCCGAACCCTACACCCTAGACCCTAAGCCCTTTAGGGCTTAAGCTTCTTTTTTGACAGGCTTTTTCTCCTCAGCCAAAGCTCCAGAGATGGCGTTTCGACAAAGTCGGGGTAGGTTTCCGGTTTAGAGTCTAAGGTTAAGCCCTGGACCCTAGACCCCAAAGCCTGAATCCTATACCCAAGGGTCCGCAAAGGTATCGGATGTCGTTCGTGGGCCCAGGGAGCTCCAGCTCCTTCACGTAGTCCAGGACATAGTCTCTGTTCCTTTCTGTGGGACTCTCTGATTAGCCGGGGGTCCCTTGGAGGCTGGGTAGGGCAAGACAGCCGAAACTTCATCATCCCGGATTCGAAATTCCTCACTTCCGAAGGGGGGTAGCGGGCAGGAAAACAACAAAACACCAGTGTTGTTCATAACGGTGTCTGGTCAGCCTTGTCACATACCAAGTGCTTAACAAGAGGGCGTCGTGGAGACCGATGCTGAATCCCACGACTCAACGTCTTTGCAAAAGGAGCAACACATTGTCTGCTTGGAGCAAGGGACAGCCGATATAGGAGGTAATCTGCCAGGTAGGTCTCACCGGCTATGTGGTCGGGCATGCATTTCCTTGGATGTTCAGCTGCCTGGCTCTCTCGACCCATGTAGAGCCCCCACGACGCCTAAAGAGATCTTGCACTAACTTTCTGAACCCAAAGAACCACAACCCCACCATTCTCGCTCATAAGCTCTGATGCTAGGAAATGCACTACACAGCCGACTCCTTGTCCCTTGTCGATTAAGGCCATTTCCTGAAGCACTCCCTCTGCCTTCACTGCCGTTTGAAACCACTGCTCCAAATCAAGAGGCAAAAACAAAGACACAATCAAAAGAGCCAATCCTTGATGCATTGACCTAAACATGTGTAAAAAGTTTATTCTACGTACTGCGACCCCTGACAGTACTAGCTTCTTAGTCTTATGATATTCTAGGGCCCATATTATAGGGTTTTGTAATTAGGCAGCAGCATTGGGGTAGCTAAAGGCCCCTAACTACATAAGCGGAACTCTGAAATCTAAATCCCAAGCCTTACCTAAGATTCCCCGCCCCCTTGAAGCAAGCAGGGTACAAAGGGTCTAGGGTTTAGTGTTTGGGGGTCAGGGTTTAAAAGGAATGTAGAGGGACCCGATTATCATTACCTTTGTGGAAAGGGGCACCACCTACCTAACTAAGCCCACGCATCAAGAAAAGCATCAGAACTCCCAGTTTGGCGTTCCGCTCCGGATCGTTTCGTCTCTTCAGCAGGGAGACACCGGGAGTGTCGTAGCAGTACCTTGGAAGGTAGACCGGCATTATATAGGGTTTAGGGTTCAGGGCTTGATACTGTTAAGACTAATACTCCGCATGACCTTATTATCCTAGAATACCACAATTGCCCAGGTAGCAGCTACTTTGGGTTGTTAAGCATAGGGTGTCTGCGATTGAGCCTGGTTCAAGGGAGCAATGTTGCTGACATCAGCTCAGAATAGGTATGTTGTCGCAGTTTCCCAAAAGGATTCACAATCATGAACAAGGTGGCTTCAGGATGCTTCAGGGTTTGCATGCTGACTGTATGCGAGAAGGACGGTGCCAACCACGTCTGCAGTCGAAGGTATTGAATTCGAGATCCAAAGTCTAGCCTGCTCTAAACCCCTGGAGTACAGCTTGAAGACGCGAAGTCTCCCGGAAACGGTATCTCCACTGCATCCAAAATGACACTCTGAACGCCAAGTTTTCTCGGACCGCCCAGCACAGGAGCTAGGTTGCTTAACCTAGGAAAACATTTGAAACGGGGACATCATGAACAGTTGGTTAACACTAAAATCCTGCATGGTCCTAAATACCTTGTACCATGGGAATTAGTGTCATAGCACAACAAGGCCATGCAGGAGCTTTAGTCTCAATAGCCATCACTGCTTTTTCAACTCCTGTCATGAATGCTTGCAGTGGATCATTTCGACTCTGGGGCCCCAAAAAAACGGTTCCAAGCATACACCGTTAAAATGAATTTTGTTACTGTTATGACTACCGGCTTTAAGACTATTATTGTGATTACTATATTGTCATTATTGTCGCGGCTCCAAACCTTTAAACAAAAGAATCGAAATCGAGCTTTCAAACACAAGGCCTACTCTCTCAAGCCCCTAAACTTACTCTCTGAGCCTGCCTACTTACCCGACTGCACACTTTAGAGAATGTGTCAGGCAAGTCTTCCACATATGCAGAACTATTGTACCCACAGAGAACATCTCTGAAGCCCTCTCCTGACCATCAACCCTGAAAATAAAACCCTAAACCATAAACCCTAAGTTGAGGGCTTGAACCCTAAACCCTAAACCCTAAAGCCTCAACCCTAAAACCCTAAACCCTAAACCCTAAAGTTGAGGTCTCCCTCAACCCTAAAACCCTACGCCAAACCAGAGGCCGAGTTCAAACACCTACGCCCCGAGTCCTCAAGCCCAAATGAGCCGTAATCTAAACTCTGAAAGGGGGTTCCATAGAGGGTCATATAGGGGAATACTATAGGGGCTTAGATTATAGCTCAAATAGGGGTTTAAATTGAACAGGGGGTCCCAAAATAGATTCAGGACTCCCGGACATAGAGCTCCCTACTTCTCAGAAGCTCCCGCATCTTTACAAAAATCCTGAACCCTAACCCTAAACCCGAAGCCCTAAGCCCTAAACCCTAAGCCCTAGGCCCTAAACCCTAAACCCTAAGCCCTAAACCCTAAGCCCTAGAGGCCCAGGGGCAGCCGCGGGTGATTGGCCAGCTGGAAGAAGGTCACATCTCGGGTGAGGCCCGGGACGTTGCTCATCTTTGGCTCTGTCCACTTGACCTTTGGGGGTGTAGGGTTTAGGGCTCCAGGTATAGGGTGTAGGGTTTAGGGCTTAGGGTATGGGGTTTAGGGTTTAGGGTTTTGGGTTTTGGGCTCAGGGTTCAGTTTAGGGTTCAGGGTAGGGTTTAGGGCTTATGTTTGTCTAAATAGGGGTACCTGGGGATACTAGAAAGCAAAAGAGCAAAGATGATGGAAAAGTAAATGGAAATCGAGATTATACAGGGCCAGGTCTAGGAAGGTTTCTTACAATGGGCAATAGAGGTCCGATTCGGCAAAGGGGGGAAGGTGGACAATCAACTGACAAACCAAATAAGATGGAAACTGCGCCTGTGTAGGGGCTGGCATTTGGAATGTCATATAAGGGTCGATTAGGCTTGGCGGGGTGATTATATTCTACTTTAATCACATACGGACTATATGGGGATACTATTGGCAACTGTTCAGGCTTCTACAAAATCTTTGGGGCCTCAGGTCCCTTCACAATCCTGAACCCTGCAAAACCCTAAACCCTAAACTCTAAACCCCTAAATCCTAAACCCCTAAGCCCTAAAACCCACCCTAAACCTTAAACCCTTAATCGCGGTGCAGGATTCATTATGGCCCGGCATCAAGGCCCACTTCTTCCCTTCTGGGGGGGTTTTTAAGGGCTCATGGTTTAGGGTTGAAGGTTTAGGGTCTAGGGCTTGAGGTTTAGGGTTTAAGGGTGAGCATGGCAGATGGGTGACAGTTGCAAGAATGAAATGTGGTCTTCGCGAGGGCTTTCTTTCTTTCAGGGCTTTAGAGGAGCCCGAAGACCCCTCTCGGGGCACAGCCCCGAGCCCGCAGGGCTGTCCACCTCTCTTATGCGGGTAGTGGTGGGTTGGTTTAGGACACTAAGGAGTAGGGAATCTGTACATGAGTTTAAGTAGGGCAGTAAGTGGATGACATGTGGTACCTGTACGGATTCGCCAGGATTGTCTATAGATATGTTACTGCACACATGGGCTCTCATTCTTAAGCAATCTGCGCGGGGTTGTTTGGAGAAACACAAACTGTGGAAAAGTCAGAGACATTCTGTCTAGCCGCAGATACAACTCTAGACCTAAAACCTAGAACCTAAAACCCCCAAACCCAAAACCCTTGCAACTAGCCTGAGAAAGGCCAAGGGGCCCCCTGCATAAGCTTACTCGTCGGCCCCTGATGTCGTAGGGTTGCGAAAGCGATGCGCTTGAGGCCGCTGATGATGGTAGATTTGCCTACCTTCCAACAGACTGGGGATGGAGGAGATCTTGCACCACCCTATTTACATCTTAATCGAGGATTTGCAGTATGTTGGGGATGTTAAGTGGTGCAAGATGTCCTGTGGATAAGGTTCATGATCAGAAAATGTAGGGTTCAGGAAACAGTTAATGCCGAAGCTCAATGACCGCTCGTGAAGATCTCGGTCCAAAACAGTAGGAATCTGCACCATCTTCAAGAAAACCTTCAACAGACTCCAGAGTCGTAACCATTCACCTTCAAAGGTCCCTAAATGGAGACGGCAGAAGTTGCTCGTCCCTGCTTTCGATGTGTGCAAAGGTGTGCAAAGGTGTATAGAAAGCGCACTTCCATGCTTATCCCACGTAACTGAAATAGATTTAAGGGCCCTATGAAATTTCAACTCGTATGGCTTTACAGGAAATGTATAGGCATTCAAAACTCTTCCCAAAACATCCCAGGTGATGACTCCACCACCGCACCACTACGAGCTTCCAAGCGGCAACCTCCAACTCACTCCTCCCCGAGCTGCTAAGTATCCCCCTTAATCAGCTCTAGGGTTTGGCGGGCCTAAGGGTATATTATAGTATACTATAGGGAGGGTTTAGGGTTTAGGGCATTATAGTATATTACAGTATATTATAGGGAGAATGGAAAAGAAAATGGAAACTACTACAATGGGGTTTCATGGGGTTTAGGGTTCTAAACTCCAAGTATCCTCCTTTGTAAGACCTATAATCGGAACCCTGTATAGTCCCCTATATATGCCCCTTTAAGGAGTTTAGACTGTGGCTCACATTGTGCGGAGCACTGGTGTAAGCATACAGTGTCTCGCAATGCCCCTTGGGGGCACTATGGAGAAATAGGGACTGGAAAGCGATCGTTATGGTTTACTTAATGGCCCCTTCTAGACTGCCCCCCAGGTTCCCCCCAATTAGGCTCCTTGGGTTACTTAAAGCCAATAAAAGGAGGTTTCAGGGGAGGTAGTATCAGCGCGGGTTGTGGGGAAGCCATTAGATTATGGGGTCCCCATCAAGGATTCTATAACAGCAGTTTTGATAAACTCCCATGTAATAATTTCCCTAGACAGGGCGAGCCCCAACGCAGATCCCACAATACTCTACTCCTTATTAAAGGGCCCCCTACAAGGCACCACAAATTTTTGGGAAACCCCCAACTCCCAAAGGAAGCACATCCCCTGGGTCAGGCTTCCAAGCTACATTGGGCAAGCCAACGACCATCAGCATCACGCCCAGGGTCCGCGGGTACTTTGACCTCACCTTGCATGGGGAAACCCTAAACCTAAACCCTAAACCCTAAGCGAAAGTCTTGGCTCCGTATTTTCCGGCCCCTGCAAGCAGCTCCTAGTTCTTTGTCGCATAAAGTGGAATCCTCATTTTGAGAGATGCCTGCTTAGATGCCTGCCTAGACCTAGTAGCACCATTTCGCCCTAGACGAATATGCGCGAAGAAGCTTCCTGGAGATTGTTTGTACGGGCAACTTTCTACAACGGCTCCCAAGAACGGGAAGCATTAGGAAATGATTCTGTGACTGAACCCTGCACATGACGGTCATACGTCGCGCAAAATAGCAGGCCTCATGTTGAGTGTTTGTTGTGTTGCCCTTGTGCCGGACAAAGATTGGCTTGATTGCCATGGGCTGCAGGGCCTACAAGCATCTGAACATGAGGCTTTTCAACAAAATGTAACGCCGTTTTCTCACACTCCCCTTCAATGATCCCGCCTTGGGATCCACAAGCCGCCTATCCTTTTCATCCATTTGGCTATTCGGAGAAACTGAAGCCGTCACCCTCTCACTGGCGTTACGGTGGCTTTTGATATGTCATGCTGGCTTTGATTTAACAAGGCTTTTCCGAGAAGGCTGCCCATCACATGACGATCCCGATCCCCATCACAAGTGCAAGGTCCCCATCAGTGCCGCCTAGGCGCGTTGTCTAGCGCAAACTGCTTGATTTTGACCTGAGATGCGGATTCCTCTATTGTGACCCAAAGAAGGGGGCCGCCCATTTTTGCAGAAACTCCCGAACAAGATTTCAACAGAGACCCAAACAACTTCAACAGGCTGCTTCGGTTGGGCGACAAAGGCTGTAATCCCCTCCCGGTAATATTAGACCCACCCCCTACTATTAAATCTTCCCTATATACGATAACATACCACAATGCGAATATTCAATGTTGCGGAATGGGGGGGGGCTTAACATTAGGGGCTTATTTAAAAAGAAGCCAACTGCCAAGGGGAACAACTTGGTGGACCCCCCCGACCAGTAATAGTGACAATAAGGGAGAATAAGGATTATATTGAGATCCTCTTATATTGCTATAATGCCACTATTTCAGGGTTGGGGGTCCTCCTAAATGAGATAGAGATAGGATGCTGCCCAAACAATTAAGGGTACAATCATGGGGGGTGGTCTCTTTTATCTGTTATCTCTATATCCCATAACAAGGTTCCCTATAAATCCCCCACAAGTCAATGAAAGAGACCATCAAAAACTACAATAAAACCGCAGGATGGCAGCCCAATGGCGAGATTTCTGTTCTCTGCTGCAGTGGTCAGCAAACATGGTTGCCCTGCCTGAGGGGCGGGGAGGCTTCCATCGGGCTTGAATATTAGAATAGGGCTTGAGGCGTATTCTACTGCAAATGAGAGAGGCTTGCGAGGGAATTGCGTGGATGACTTTTGGATGCTTCCACTTCATTCCAGGGATTCGCTTCACTACTAAAACAAGGGATAGTCCATGGAAACAGCATAGAAGTTCAGCAGAGACAGGGTGAGGAGGCAGCAGAGGAGGCAAGAACTCCTTTGGTGTTGGCTTTCCCGTATTGCGCTCTAGTGGGCTCAAGTATGATGCAGTTCCCCACTGAAGAACAGGATTTCTTGCACGGTTGGTGGTAGCGACGCTCATTCATAGCTTTAGTAAGTAGGTAAAAAGGGCTAACTCGGGCTACCACTTGGTTCAGAAGACATATGCGTATTCTAGCCGGTACCCCTGATCCTCGAAGTACAGCTGCTTCAGGAGGACTGGGGGGAGTACATTGGCACTATCACAGAGGATTGCATAGGAACTCATTTTGGGACTATAGGCACTGTTATGAGGGGATTATGTAGAGGCTCTTTTGGGGTCCCTTTCCCCACTCCGCCAATGAAGCATCAGTACGTTACAGATTGGTTAGGGAAGAACCCTCCTTCCCGGTGTCAGCTCCTTCGCATAGCAATAGTAGAAAGAATCACTGACATGAACGTATTAATGCACATTCACCTGTAATGGTCATCAAAACCTTCATGGTGGCAGTCAAAATCATGGCCATAGTAAGAAGCTTAGTATTCGTCTCTGCATAACACCGACAACCGCCAAACATTCACCCCCATGCGAATATCGGACATCCTCGTACTAGTCCAAGTATATTGGGGGGATTTCCAACATCAGAGGATATAGGTTAGGTGGACCCCCCGCCCAGTAATAGTGCCTATAATGGATAGTAGGGATTATATTAGGGTCCTCTCATATTCCTACTATACCACTATTACAGGGTGGGGGGTCCTCCTAAGATAATTATTCCAGGGGTCATAAACGACCCTTGCAGATGTCGAGGCTTAATCTGCAGCCAGAGCCCGCCTCCTCAATCAAACCCCTCATCGCCAATCCAACATTTGGAGTGACCAAGTCGGCCTAGATTGGCTGCTCCCAAAATAGAAATAGTAGAAATACTACTCCTAAAAATAGTAATTCTATATCATACTTTAATATACTACATGATTCTATAGTATTCACAGGTCAGTCTAGGGTGTCGGGCTTTTTTGGTTTTGGGTCTCGGTATCACCTTGGGATCTTTTCGGGGGGGTCCTTCAAATTGCTTCTTCTAAGCCCCATGTTTGAACCCGGCCGGGCTCTGCTGACACCGCTAGTTGGCTGCTGCAGGCTGTAAACAATGACCAGTATAACTTTGACATCTATTTGCGGTATTACCGTAATTCTGCCAACAAATTAGGACCATAATACTAGTAGTTATTGAGGCCCCCTATATTAGCTCAGCAGCCAGAGATCGTGGCAGGAAACGAAGACAGTGCGTGAGACTTCCCAGCGATTTAAAGCCAATGAAAAATCAAAGCGGTTGCTTTAACCTTTATTCTGTAGCTCCAGCCACTCGAGCGCAGATTGCGATGCAAGGTTTGAACTGCTAGCACTGGAGTTTACTGTTCGATCCCCATCATACCGAAAACCCCCAAACTGTTAGCACTGGAGGCTGCTTTCCGATCCCCACTATAGCGAATACCCCCCCAAACCCTGAACGCTAGACCCTAAACCCACACTTATGGAGGAACTCCTGCCATCCCCGCTGAATGCTCTGCTAGAATCCCCAAGCCCGGCACAAAATGGTACCCGCAGCACACACCGGCTACAAACTCCCAAAACCATGCCATGAACCAGTCAAAATCTGCATGTAAATTTTCCAGGGCCCCAGGAGCTTCACATGAGCCATCAGTCCTAAACAAATTCAACCCTTAATCTTTGAAATCCGAAACTTGCTGATACGAAGTACTGCGTCACCTGAATATACAAATTTCCAATATGTCATGAAGTACTTAAGGTCATAACCCTAAATATCTGCACCCTAAACCCCTTCACCCTATACCACTAAACCTCCAAACCCCACACCCCTAATCTCCTAAAACCACAAGGATTGGGAGCTCCCCTGGCCTTGTTTAGGATGACCAGTCGTTGGACATTGGCTGGGAGGCTGGACGTAAGCTCAAACTGCGCAGATGTGAAGGGAGCCTGGGAATACTCTTGGTTTTAGGGTTTTAGGGTTTAGGGTTTAGGGGTTTAGGGTTTAGGGTTTAGGGTTTAGGGGTTTAGGGTTTAGGGTTTAGGGGTTTAGGGTTTAGGGTCTAGGGTTTAGGGTAGCCTTACACTGACTATTCAAAAGAGACCCAGACAGAACCTGAAATGGAGACCAATTCGGGACTCATGTTTTACATCAACCGCCATAAAACCCTAAAATCCTAAACCCTAAATAGTAGTTTCCATTTTCTTTTCCTTTATCCCCATATAACCCCTATATAATCCCTATATAACCCCTATATAGTCCCTAATTTGGTGAAGTCGTTATAACGAGCCCAGCTCACAGCACCACGAAGGTTCTGAGGGCGCAGGGATTGGGGGCGCGGTTTTCTCAAACTAGGGGGCGGGTTGTGGGAAGCCAAACTCCAAACCCTGCACTCTGAATCCTTAATAATGCGGTGGTCCCTTTTCTTTCCCATTTTGTTTTTGCTCCGCGTGTGGTTTTGTTCTGTGTGTTTTTTTCTGTTGTTTTGTTCTGCGTGTTTTTTGTTTC